TACCTAAATTATCATGAAATCTCATCATTTGTTTGTGTGTGTGTAGTTGATTAGTTTGTGTGAATGTGCGTAGGTGTGTTTTTTTTATGTTTGTATTTATGCAAGTGTGTGTGTTTGTAATTATAGATATGTGCTTGTGTATATCTGCACTTGAAAGTGTGTGTGTGTGTGTCTGCTAAGACTAGCGTGCTTGTGTGTGTGTGTGTGTTTGTGCAGGGCAAGCTGACCTTGTTATAAGCTGAGTGGGCTGTAGTGCTGGGGCATCATTAGTATGGGTTAGGTGAGGGTTAGAGGGTGTGTGTGTGTCTGTGTGTAGAGGTGAGGGGGTGACACAGTGGGGAGAGATGCGGGATGACAGTGTGAGAGAGGAGGCAAGAGGGGCAAGGTATGTGGGTCAGGCCGGGACACACAAACACACGTCACCCCTCCCACCCCCACATCCGTCAATTTGAAGCAGGTACAGCGAATGTTTGAGGAAACACACACACACACGCACGCACGCAAGCACACAAACACACACACAGTCCACTTGTTAGTTCGTAAGCCCACTCTATAGCCTCCAACGGCCTTCAACAGTACAAAAGGAATCTACGCAGTCACAATGCAGTGACGCACAAACAGACTGTTAGACGCATGATAACATCTCCACACACACAGAAGCACTGCCTGTTTGAGGTGCCATTACTTATGCGTGGGAGGTGTCACAACATACTGGACTTTAAATGAGGTGACCACATTTTTCAAAGTGGGGCGCATGTGTGCTGGAACATTTTTAGTCTGAACTGCTTATATGGTGGGGGGGAAAGTGACTGCTTTTTCTTTCTGTTTTCAAGGGGAATCACAAACCTGTGACACGCTGGGCTTTCACTGGGACTATACTGAGGGGAAATGTGTGGGGATGTTTGCATGTCCTGAAGGGAACCAAACCCAAACTGATACTTTATCTCACAGTAGTATGGTTTCCATTAAGCATATTCTAAAATCTAAGCTAATTAAAATGTTAATTATTTTTTCCATCAGCTTCCTCTAACCAAATATAGTCAAGTGACGTGACAAGATTACATAATTACTCGAGCCCCAGTAAGTCTGATACATCGGGGAATGTCATTGTTGCTCCTCACCTAAAATATGGCATTTTTAGCTTTTTAGCAAATTTTAACAATGGCCCCCAACTGGACTCCAACCAAGTTACGCACACTCCTGACACCATCGCTGTTTTTGTTCTTTTATTCTTCGGCATTTCTACAAGAGTGGAGGTGTGTAACAGAGAGTGGCAGCAGGAGTGTTTTTTCTACACCAGAAGAAGCAAAGTCAAGGTATTACAGCTTCACTTTGTAAATGTGCCTTTTGCACCACATAGTTTTTCTTTCTTTCTTACTTTTCTCATCCTTTCTAGAAATGCACAACTGGATGAGACACCCAGTCGAGAAGTTTCTACAAAGGATTGCAGATGAAGCCAGAGCATGCAAACAGTTACCAGTGAAATCCCACAGCATTTAGTGGAAACGAAGAGAAGCTACCACTGTTATTTAAACTATATATAGAGTAGAGTTGCTCCACACAGAGGCATTGGTACATGATGTTGGCAGCACTAGCCTATTGAGTAACACCTGGTATTTGTTAGCAGTAAAGAGTCAGGCTTGGCGAGTAATGGATTACATGTAACTGAGTTACATAATCAGGATACAAAAAAAGGGTAACTGTAATCCACTACAGTAACAGAAAAAAAGACTACATAAAATATTACATTAAATTGAGATTTATTTAGCAGAATATAGTTTTGAAATACATCAGTTTTTCTTTGAAAATACACTGAGCAGAGGATACATATTTGATGCTAAAAGTCCATTTTCAAGTTAAATTGCTCTGTTTTCTTATAGAATGCACTAACATCAATACCTCTTATTGACATTTCTTTTCTCGTTTTTATTTACATCTTTGGTGTTGAGGTAACCCAAAAGTAACGGAAAGTAATCCAGTTATGTTACTTTAATATTGTGATACCTGGATGAGGGTACTGACTTTATCAGATGTCATTTTTAAAGTAACCCTCCCAACCCTGGTTACAGTAGCTCCTGATTATGATTTTAAAGTAAAACTGAACCCTTACAAATGTAACGGCCATGGTAGATACTGTATGTGAACAGGTTATAGGTCAACTGTCTGACGTTACACCACTGACCCAGAAAGTTGCCATTTCACAATTGGTTTTCTGGTGAAACGTTCCACCATACCTTGTGTAACCTGCAACCTGAGGCTGATCATATTGCTTCAGTGTTGCTGACTGCCTGCCTGGAAACAGCAGCATACAATTACTGACTTCTGGGCCTAACTGCACACATTGATGTCATTAGACGTTTAACCTACAGTAAATGCAAACATAATGATGATAGTTAATGGCTGCATCTATAATACTGACACGCGGCCCCTGTGAAGAATCACAGCACAAACGTGCTGTTGATCTTGCATTATAAATCATGAGCCTGTATACGTACTGATAACTGGAATATAGCATACTGTTATCAGTTGTCTGTGGTAAAAACTGGGTGGAATTTTCATTTATAAGCCTCAGGTAGTTCCTAGAACCTTATCGGCCCTGTTTTTATTTTCAAGTGTGTGCATATGAGAAATGAAAATTGAGAATCTGTGCTTGACAAAAGTCAACAGAAACCAAGAGAAGGCAACCAGAGCCAAAGGAAACCAACGCCACAATGGAAGCCATCAGAAAACAATGGGAACCAACCAAAATACAAGACAATGCACGAGACTATAAGCCACAGGATGCAGAATAAGCCAATAGCAGCCGAATGATGCCAGTAGAAACAATGGAAGCCAGTTGGAGGCAAAGTGAACGCAAGCTGTAAGCAGGCTGCTCTGAAGTCCTGCCAGGAGTAAGAGGAGGAGGTAGTGGAGGAGGAGGTGGAGGCTACGGCTCAGGAATATTCTAGTCGTTTATTCCTGGCCAGGGGTCAACTGTGGCCTCAGGCTAAAGCTCAGAGGAGGAGGGAGAAACTCACACATGATGAGAATACACCAACTAGCGC